GGGGGGGGGGGGGGGGGAGTGTGTCTGTCAGAGAAGCGCACTGTGTGAGGGTGTGACAGCAGCACTAACACACAATGCTGCTGTCCGTGGTTCTCACTTCTGAGCAGCCTGTGAGGAAGAAAATATGCATGTCTGTTAAGATTATTCCAAATCCATTCATTATTCAATGTTATGCCGTTGATATTTGAAGGTTCTAGTTACCGTTTTTAATAAAGTGTTCGAGTTGAAGTTGAAGTGCTGCTGTGTGTGTGTAAGGGGGATGATAATAGGGCTATAATAATTAAGCAAGAAGAATATGTGAATTCTAAAAATAAAGAATGCTGAATTCCGTTCTGACGAAAAAATAGTAATACTAAAACAAGATATGCTGCCGTGAAGTGTGAGCGAAGTTCAGTCAGTCAGTCAGCGTTCAGGTGCAGGAAAAGTGTTGAGAGCGGCTGCGGCTCATTAAATGCAGCGGCGCAGCGCTACATGATGCGCAATGGTTGCTCTCCCCCACGCTGAAGTTGAAGCCTGTCTGTCTGGTGATATTATTTTGGGACATGAATGATTGGTTGACTCTAAGTGATTAAAGATACTGTATTTGAGCCAGGGAAGCTAGACTGCTGAGGCGTACAGGGGGAGCATCATGTTTTTCCCCCTTCCATTTAAAAAAAAAAAAAAAAAAAAAACTCGGGTTCAGTCGGGCTCGGGCAGTTTGGGCCTGTTGAGAACTCTAGTCAGAAAATGCCAAACTCAAGGCTTTGAAACAGGTTTCCACAAACCAGTGTGTGACGTCATGGTGGCTACGTCCGTTATTTTCATACAGTCTATGGCAGCAGTCAAGATACAATGTTTGGGAGAAAATTATTATAATATTCATGCACTTCCTTTGTCAAAAACAACACGATGGCAGACTCTGTGGGACGCCACAAATTGCCATTTTAAAATTCCCTCTGATGGGAAATGTGCTGCTGTGGGTCCTTCTCCCTCTTCCAGGTCGTTCCTTTCCCCTCGGTTTCTATCAGACGCAGAGCTGAATGAAATCTGTGTTTGTTTGGTGCTGAAAGCTCGACATCTCTCAAGGACTACAAAAGATATTACATTTTTTATAGGAATTTTTTTGTTCTTTTTTTCATCTATCCTCTTGTCTCAAAGCCTGGGTACATAAAAATAAAACTTGTGAGAATGTAGTTTTGAGTAATTTGGGTGAGCTAATTTGTTAAATAGAAGGCTATCCACTTCATTTATAAAAGATCTTCTCTCCATGACGATGAAGTTGTGAAAAGTCACAGTAGAAAAGTCAACTGTCTCATCCTTGACACAGTAAGCTGAGTTTATATCCCTAGCTCACCAGGGCTGTGTAAAGGCGGGGATAAAAATAAATTCTGCTGACATCCAGAACTATAGAGGAGAGGTTGATTGCACACTGAGCTCCACAAAGTAGACAGTCTACCGAGTGTTCCACCTGTGGTGTACACAGGTCTTTACACTGTGTCTGTGGAAGGGCTCCGAGTTGCGTAACTATTTCCTCTTGCTTTGTCAAATCCCTCGCCACCCCCGACCGCACTAAGTTATGCCTCAGTGAAAGCACTCCTTATCCCGGCCAATATGAAAAGGTCATTTAATGCACAGTGTTCCCTCTCCTGACAGGCTGAGAATTGGTTACTGACATTGCACTCTGTTATTTATGAGTCAGCTCACAGTTATGAACAATGCTTTTTTTGAATTGAAATCTCCAATCATGCCTCCAGCGCTCGGCTCAGAGGACCTTTTCAAGGTGATGTATCGGAGGTTCTGTTATCATATCAGGTGTTAAAAGCCATCAGGATGTGATGTGTTCCTCTCAAACACTGTCTCCTCTTGTGCGTCCTCCTCTGTACCAGACACATTAATTGAGCTCTGAGATCTCACAGCCTGTAGACAACACAAATTTGACTACGCTTTACTTTAAATGCCAAATGCCTTTTCCTTTGAAACAACCAGGAATCCACATTTCACATCATTCTACCTCTTGCCACATCACAGACGCATAAACACACACAGTCTATTAACTTAAAAGGACTTAAAATGGTCGTGTTCGTGACCTCCCACCCTTTAAGTGAGTGGGCTCCCTCCATCCCTGAGGGGAGGCTGGCGGCAGTGCAGAGTGGGAGGAGAAGTCCTCGGGGTGAACAGTCAGGAAAAGCGTGTGTGTTAGAGAAATTTTATAGTTGAGTGAAGTTTCCGGGGTGAGCTGAGGCTGGTGTTGGTGGGAGCACTGAAGCCTGCTGTCAGACTGTGTGTGTGTGCGTGTGACTCTGCATGCTAACAGCAGCTATTCTCAGACAGGGACACCACGGGACACCCTGCTTTACTCTGGAATGTTCTGCACCTTTCTTCCTCGGTGGCTTCGCACCCTCTGTCTGTGTCCTTTGTGTCCTGACATCACTGTCTCTCGCTATTTTTGGTTTTTATGTCTCACTTTTTGCCTTGTTTATTTCTGGTCATTTTCCAATCTCTATGCTGGATCTGAAACCTGGTCCTGTTCCATGATGGCCTCGGTCTGAAATAGATTTATTAGAAAGACAACCAGCAGTGCTCTGGGAGGTGAGGGACTGATGTTAGTCATTGTCTTAACACAGCTGATTCACACAGTTTTACTTGTACTATCTTTGTGTATTTTTTATAAACTATAGCTGTTGGTTTTTAGCCATGCCAGCGGCAAGACTCTTGACATGGCAGGTTTGTTTGGTCCATCGCCTTGGTCCTGACTAAAATATCTCCTCTATTGGATGAATTACCATAAACTTTTTCCTTCAGCACAACCAAGAGGTTTACATTTTTGGTTTTGATTAGATGTTTAAATGCCTTTAAAAACTATTGGAATACCAGGAAATTTAGTGCATTCATTGCTTTCTAAGAATTTAATAGCTTTTATCTCGTTCCATCTTCTCTTCAAATTTCAGTGTGTTTCATGATTTGGTGAATGCCCAGATCTTTAATGACATGCCCACCAGCCTCAGTTGTACTTTAGTTTAATGCTAATTTGCAAATGTTAGCATGCTATGCTAAACTAAATATCAGAACGTTAGCTGTAGCTGAGTAGTGTTGCACGGTATCATAATGTTGGAGTACCGTAGTACTGCAGTACCTCTTTGTACCACTGTGGGAAAAGTTCAAAGTCCAATCGCAGGAGGGTGAGTGTCCATGCGCCATCCAGTAACGGCGCGTGCTGGCCACCTGGCGCTCAATATGCTGCTGCAGTGGTTTGTTTTCCAGTGACATTTCAGGTATTAGCTGAGCTACTGAGTATCTTTAAGCAGTGAAAGTTATTATTTATTTATTTCACTTGTAGGCAAAATTTATTTATATGCTACAGTGATTTGTTTTCCACAGAGCTCTACGGTGCGAGCATTTTACTCACATTTGCGACTAAAAATAGTTTTGTGCAAGCAAAAGAAATCATTCAGGAGCACACTGTGAGAGTACAGATTTCAACCAGCAGCAGAAATGGAAGGCGAATCCTGCCAGTTGTGGGTTAAACGGGGGTCACAGACAGGAATATGGCGGAGCACTATGGCCCCCGCAAATTAACGGCTTACTGGCGACAGAGAAGCCTGGCTCCAGGTCCAATAATTTCCACTTCGTCGGTGTCATGACTGCCCAAAAGTACCTGGACAGCTGAGCCGTGGCGGTACACAGCTATGTGACATGTCAGAGGAGAAACGAGCCGTTCACATTTTTCTCTTTGTGGCAGGTAACGGTCCACAAACCTCACCGCACTTTAGGGACTGTTCTTTACTTATGAAGGGACTGTTCTTTACTTGTCAGGGGAGGAGGGTGGCTGGTTGATTTTTATTTCATTTATTTATTTTATTTTGATCCCCCCTATGTTCATTACTTATTGATGCTGTTTTTGAATATCATTGATGTATTATAGAAAAGTGATTTATCTTTTTATAAATAACAAAAGGCACATCTGCCTCATTTTTGCTGTGGTATCCTGATACTACTCAGAACTGTGATACTTTCACTGGTACCGTACCGTGGGTCCCAATTTTGGTAGCGTCACAACACTAGTTGTGAGCACGTTAGCATGCGGATGTTATGTTAAGTTCACCGCACCACTGTGTCCAAGTACACAGACCTGCTAGATTATGCTATTGGAGACCCACTGTTCTTAATTTATTAACAATTTAAGATTCATTCATTCATTTTCCGTAGCTGCTTATTCTGCTGGGGGTCGTGGGGGGGTGGAGCCTATCCCAGCTGACACTGGGTGAGAGGCAGGGTTCACCCTGGACAGGTCACCAGACTATCACAGGGCTGACACATAGAAACAGACAACCATTCACACTCACATTCACACCTACGGATAATTTAGAGTCACCAGTTAATCTGCATGTCTTTGGACTGTGGGAGTTGTGAATGTGTACTGTAGTCACATGTTGAATGCACAGACTGTAAAAATAATGGACAAAACTACCGAGATGTAACCCATGGGTTTGTGGACTCCAGCTTGGAAGCCTCGAGTTCAGCATTATGTTCGTCGCCATCTTGGTTTTTTGGATCCAGAAGTGAGCATTATTTGGATGAGAGGCTGATGCTGTGGAGGAGCGAGGGGTAGAGCTGACTGAGAATCAGACAGCCTGTCACTCAAAGCAGCCCGCCCTTATTTATGTGTAACTTTAAGGCTTACTAAAATGTAAACGGGTGAGTTATATAAAATTCCGTCCCTGTACAGTTGTCACGGAGGGGAATATTAGCTAGCTAATTATGTTTATTTCTGCTGAAAAGTTGGACATTTTAACATGGAGGTTTATGGGAATTGACTGGCTTCTGGAGCCAGCCTCAAGTGGCCGTTAGAGGAACTGCAGTTTTTGGCACTTCTGTGTTGCCGTCATTTTTCAGCCCCGTAGGTCGCTGCTTGGTTGAATTAAATGTGTTATACAAGTCGTTCTGCTCAAACATAGCCGAACAATTAATTGACTGTGGGGCACTGGACGTTTATTTTTATTTTTGTGTTCTATCTCTCTCAGGGGGAGGTCAAGGTGGAGGAGCCAGGCAGCTGCTGTCCGGTCTGTAGGAAGCAGTTTCCAGGTTAGTGCAACACACAAGCTGCAGAAAAACACATCACAAAATCCACAAGTCAGTGCAGAGACTGTGTTCAAGAATGGCATGTATATCATGGGTATGTTGGGGTGTAAAAAGTAGACATAAGCTAAAAAAATGAGTGAACCTGTGAGCATCAGTGTGCACCAACATTTGTATCAAGGTAGAAGAGATAAGGTGAGGTGTTTTCTCTTTGATTGTGTGTCATACAGCAGCAGCTTCCTGTCTTGTCTCTGTAGCGCCGGCTCCGTTTATATTATATTTTCACTGCTTTTATCATCGATTGTATTTTCAAAGCTTTTATTCTTTATGTTTGTGCTTTTAACTGTTTCCTGCCTGGGGACTGCGCATGAAAATAATCCTGCCTGGCTTGTTTTCAGAAATGTTAATATGCACTCTTCCTATTAAATAAATAGCTAAAATAATTACCTTTGAAATAAGCATGTGATCAAACACAAAAGCTCCACTTTTATTTTGAGTCCCATAACGAGGACTGTCATCTCGAGTCTCCCTGTGGATGCTCGAATGCTAAATAGTAATGCTTTATCATCTGTGGTAACGTTGAAATACTACTCGTAAAACATGCAAATCTCAAACAAACACCCATCACTGCAGCTTCCTTTATTCCATGTCATGACTTCCAAACCACTTCATTGGATTTGAACGTTAAAGTTCATTTCATAGGAGGCTGAAAACCAAGTGCCGCAGTGCCCAATTAGCGAGAGATTACATTACTTAACCTACATTGGGGCTTTAATCTCTCTCCCAGTGGAGGAAATGTCACATGCTGCCAGGGAGCAATGTCACTGTGCTCTCTGGAAGAAACTCTTTGTCTCTTCCCTCCATTTTTATTTCCATGCAAAAATTACAGCTCCTCATAATCTCCTTTTCCTCGCCCTCTGTTTGCCCCCTTCGCTCCGTCCAATCTCACTTTGCCCCTTTGCCTCCTTCCTCTGTGTGTGTCTCCGTCAGGCGAGCCCGTGCCAGAGTGTCGTCGCTACGTGCAGGTCAGGAACATCACCAAGGGAGACTGCCGGCTTGACAACGTCGAGGTCAGCTTCTGTAGGGGACGCTGTCTGTCCAGGACTGATGTCATCCTGGAGGTACGGAGAATACACACACACACAGAAGATAATACGAATAATGATGAGTATCGACCAGCAAGAGTGACAGCTGGCAGCACAATAAAGGTCAATACAGGCAGCAAAGTGGACTTAAAGGGACCAGAAGTGGAACTGGAACAAAATCTGTTGATTAAAATTGTTTGCTAATTGCCAATCAGGGCTGCACAGGCTGTTCAGTTTAAGTATAACACATACATATGCAGACATATTGCAATGTCGGCCTCTTTTTTGCAAGATTCATTTAATTAGGAATGTCTGCCAAACTTAAATTATAAACATGTGAATGCAAAGTGCCAAAGAAAGCTGTCAAACAATTTCCTCCACTTAAATCCTAACAAAGCCACCAACCACTAAAAACATCTCTCACAATATGCAAGAAAATAATCAGGATTATTGCCTTAGCGATCACTGTGCAGCCAAGTAGTCCATCTGTTTTTCTTTCTGAAGCGTGACCCGGCATCAGGGTGTTGAGAGTGTTTCTGCAAAACAAAATGAAGTCGCGTGCAGCTGGTCACACCTTCTATAATGTCACTTCTTCACGGATAAACACAGGCCATGGAGACACTTGGAGGCTACGGCTAACTGTACGTCTCTTTTCTTCTGTGAGTCGTGGTCACAGTTAAACACACAGTTCACATAGATGACATGAAGGCAGGTAAACAAAATACATAATTCAGCAGCTGAGTCCCCAGTGATCTAAATATAGATGTTTTGAACGGGCGTTTGACTCACATGTCGAATCTGTATCTGTTTCTTAACCCTCCTCTTTTCTCTCCTGCCTTCACTCCTTGCCTTTTTCTTCCTTGTAAGACGGCGAGCTCATCACCTCATCACCATGGTGACTTTGTTCTTCCTTGGCATCCATACATCTCCACTGTAAAAATAGAGTCAGTCAGATTAGTAAAAATAAACATCAGCTTAGCCAAATGTGTCATTACCTCCTGTTACTGTGGCAACCAGGGATGGTTACCAGTGACTAGGCAGCGCCGAGAAGTTCCCTTTCCATTGATCAGCGGGGATGAACGCACAAGAGGCACACACACACACTGGACTTTTCAATATGTGTGAAGCGCTAATAATTATTTTACTGAGAGTCTGAAGGTGTTTTTGATTCTGGGCTCCTGCGCCAGGTCCCTTATCTATCATTCTCTGCTACCACCTATTGTACTTTTCCACAGACTCTCCTCCTTGGGTCCTCGCCTGCACTAATTGGACACATGAGCAGGAGCTTCTAAGAAACTGCCTTCTGTCATGCAAAACACCAGAGCTGGGTTTTTGTATTTCAAGAGATACAAAACAGCCAAATGATCACCGTATTCCCAAATCTGTGCTTGTATTGTATTTTAGCTGTCTAGGTCCTTTTAAACTCATTTAATGATATGAATAATGATTTAACTAAGTATTTTCTCCAGTGGCATTGGCCCCCCAGAAGGACAATGCATCATACAACTCTGTGTCCAGAGGAACGTGACCTATTCGGATGGGATTAGTTTAATGTGGAGACGTGGGGTAAAGTAATTATTACCAGGGATTTTAGTCCCGTCCGAACACGCCATGTCTGTAATCATTACGGATAATGTCAGTAAAAATTACGGCGACTTTTACCTGATCCTCTGTAAAAATGTCTGTAAATATTTTGTCACATGATGGAGGCACTTGAGGAAACATTGGGTGTTGTCGGCAGTCGTGATAGTGGACACTGTTCTAATGTCGCATAGCCCGAAGTGGGAGACCAATCAAAAAGGTCTAGAAGAAATCACTTTTCAGAGCCACGAGACTTCAGGCCTAATATAAATCCATATTGCTAATCGTTCTCTACACACAATCCTGATCATGGGCAATATTTCATATTGGGGTAATCATTAATTATTAATGTAGCAGGCACATGCCGACCGGGAGGTGATGCCAGGGCGCAAACAGAGTTCACTCCCGTCTCTGGTAGAATCACAGAGATTTCTTGTCCCATATGAAACGGACATTTATATTACAGACATCCTGTGGTTAGTCTCTATATACAGACTCTACATTCAGTGAATGTAGAGTCTGTAGGCAAACCCCGGAGATCGGAAACGGAAATTCGCCTCCTCCGCCCAAATCAAACCGGAATGCCAAAAAATCGGGGGTCTTCCCCGAGAATGATCCTGTGGTAACCTGACCTTAGTCCACATCCCTGTGTAAAACTAATCCCATCCGAATACTACTTAAGAGCTTAAGGTGTCGACCTGGCCTTAAGATTCCCCTCATCCCAGTCTGATCGAGCATCCGTGAGATGTGCTGCTACCCCTCGTCACAACCCAAAGGACTCAAAGGATCCACCACCAACGCCCTGGTGCCAGACAAGTCTGATCCAAGGACGCCCCACTGTGGATCAAAAGTACCTCTGGGGTACCAGCACGTCCCAAGAATGGTTAATCTCATTGGGATCTGGGGAATCTGGAGGCCAGGTAGTCGACTTGAGTTCCTTGTCACGTTCTTCGGACCATTCCTGAGCAGTTTTTACGGTGCGGCATGGTGCATTGTCCTGCTAGGGGGGCTGTTGCCATGAGGAGGTGTGCTTGGTCTGCAACGGTGTTTGGGTGGGTGGAGTGCATTAAATGGCATCTACATGAATGCTAGGATGAAAGGTTTCCCAGTAGAACGCTATACTTGGACAAAATGATCAGTGTTATTCATTTCACCAGCCAGTGGTTTTAATGTTTTTGCTGATCGGTGTATAACAAAGTGTGTTTTCTTTAGTGTATAAAAATAAGAAAATAAGAATCATCTTCTTGTTACCTTAGAATGAGCCATTTATATCTACTTAGGGAGCGATTCCTTGTCTACAGAGACTACTGAGGTCACTGAGGTCAGGATATTGGTATTTTTCGGAGGTATAAACCTAAAAATAGCTTTACTTTCATCAGGCAAAGATATTATGTCTCCAAGTGAATAAGTGTCTTACTCCTCTGATAACAGTCATTGATTTTGTGGGAATGTGGGATGGTGAAGTGAATGCTCCTGTCATCAATATGCAATCTTTGGTAGACCTGGTGGTTCTTGGCCAGGGTGGTATGTGCGGTACGTCAATAATGTCAGGAAATCCGGCGGCAGACTTTAATGCGATCGATGCGAAGCGAGACTCTACAAGTGAGGTGAAGTGATGTAAAGTAAAATGATCTCGTCTCATCGTTTTACTAGTGGACTGTTTGTAATTCAGTGTTATTTATCCCCAGTCTGACATCATATGATGCAAATTATTACAGGTTGTGCTTGTGCAGTGAATTAACTCTTAGCTGGCTAGAAAAGTGTTTACTTTCTTCATGGACACACTGATGAAAATGAAAAGAGTGAAACCATTTCACCAAACAAAACTCAGCTTTGGGAAGGGAACAGGAGGAGAGACGTACTGTCTTCCCACAGTTCACAGGATTAGCATTATGTTCCCACATAGGTTAAAACTGAGAATTGGTTCTCAACTGATTTTAGCTGGTTAACTAAATAAAGGTAAAAAAGAAAAGATGTGTTTTGGTAATTACATATAAAACTATTGTTTAAGTATATTATTGTACAGCATACATTTTGCTCATGTTTATGTACTGTTTTAATTCAAAAGCAGTTGGCAAACGAAGTTATGGTGTATAATCTACACTAACTGAAACAGTGTGTGGATCATGATTAATGTAACTTAGTAGAAGCACTGATTCACCCAACTTGCTTGCTAACAAGCTACCAAATTTCTTCGAATTTTTCTTCATAACTCAGATGCTTAGGGGAAATATAATGGAGTGAAAGTATACTTTTTATTTAGGAAATGGCATGGAGGAAAAGTGAAAGTTGACAGAAATATAAATACTCCAGTATAGTACAGATACGACTTATTCGTACATGGTTTTAAAGCTAAGGAGACAGAACTCACTCTGCACAGCTCGTCTCAAGGATCAGGTGCTGGTTGGCTGCAGGAACATCTTAGATAAAATCATCATAAAAAATCTACAGATAAACTGTAGAAAATAAACACTTTGTTCCCTCTTAATAAAATTGGTGTTTATTCAGTGTATTTACCAGTTTAAATCCCTGGGTCTGGTTGTTGTGGAGATGAAGAGACGTTAAACAAAACCTCCTGAACAATGAAAACTGAAGGAATCGTAACCAGAAGTCAATGCTTGGTGCACTGGAGGAGTTTCAGCTGGGTATAGTCTGCAATCTTCACTGCTAGATGCCACCAAATTCTACACGTCGTTCTGTCAGAGCTGCACTAATTTGTGTTTTTATATTTACAAATGCCTAAAAGTAGCTGTAGCTCACAGTGGAGAACCCACAGATAATTATCACTGACGCTTCCTCTCAGTTCTTTAAAGCATTTTAGCACCTGTCAGCTCATTGCTTTGACTAAATAATAATAAACTTTATATACATAGCACCTTTCAAAACATTGTTACAAAGTGCTGTACAATAAAACTTAACACATTTAAAACACAAGGAGAATTAAACAAATTAAAATTAAACTAAGATGTCATAAAATGGCACCAAGAAGAAAACTAAAATGAAGATAATAGGAATAAAATCAATAAGACAGCAATAAAACGCCCTGCTAAGATAAACTCAAAGATATGTTTTCCAAAGAATTATGTTAAGCCTCGGGGCCCTGATTGCAGAAAAACTCCACTCTAGTCCAACAGCAACAGGCTGGAGAACATAGTGAAGGAGGAGACCAAACCAGAGCTCAAAGAAGAGTGAATTTTGGATTCATCAGGGGCACAGAAATTATCTCCAAATTAATGCTAACGGTGCTCTGAGTCTGCTGGATGTGTACGTAACCAAACGTTTGCTAACACTTTAACTGTAACAACTTTATATGGTGATAACAAGCACATGATTGCCGATTAGCTGACGCCGCAGTGCTCGCCATTGGCTTGACCCAACGCTGATCTCTCCTCCATCTTGCAGTCGGATCTTTACATTTTTCTGCGCCCCGTCTCTGCCCCCGCCCCCCACCTGCATTCTACTGTAAAATCATTGGCTCTACACGGAACGATCAGCGTCAAACGGGGTCGAAGTTCAACAAAATTGAACTTTCAGCATTGCGTCAAAACGCCGGTGCAGCCCACAACGCGATGCCAAAGTCGAAAAGTACCCCGATGTCAGCGTTAATGCCAGCTTCCATAGGAAAACAATGGCACAGCGGGCATCAAGAGATTTTTAACGCTGGTCATGTGCAAGCGCCTTTATGATATCAGTCATGATAAGACGTATGATTTTTAATATGACATAGCGATAGTTCAGCTTGTTGACATATTGACGTCATGCTGTGTTGCACGACAACAAGCATGGCTGAAAGCGAAATTACTAGAGACTCCACGATGGTTCCAAAAAGAAGAGCAGCTTCAGTAGTGTGGAATAAACTGTGGCATCCTGAATGTTTTATGAACAGCCCCGGACTTCTCAGACTCTTTTAGTAACTTAGCGCGCAGAGGGAACTCGTTCAGCGGCTCCTCTGGCAGCAGCACAGCGTCTCTCCTTCTCCTCTGTCTCGTGATTTTATCATAAACCTTTGGTAATGTAAACCTACGTGACGCTCATGGCTCGACTAATACTGAGTAGCCCTGAATACTGAACACTTGAGTCCACACTGTCTCATTCTGTCACTTCATATAAAGTTAAGGGCTTCTAATTTCTCCGACGGCCTCGTCTCTCCTCCTTTATCAATCCTGCCAATACTCTTTCATCTCCTTTAAACTCATCTTCCCTTTTCCTCTGTTCTTTGACATTCCGCCCCCAAGTACTTCTTCCACCTGAAATTCTCTCATATCCTCCCTCACCTCTAATTTCACCGTCTCCTTATCATATTCCAGTCTCCTAATTGGCTCCCTTCACCACATCCCTCTGGCTCTCCCTTTCACCTCTTCTCCTCCTCTTTTGCTTCACTTAGACTCTCCCATCATTTCATCCTCTCTTGTCCTCCCTCCCTCTCCACAGGAGCCCTACCTCCAGTCAGTGTGCGAGTGCTGTAGTTACCGTTTGGACCCTGACAACCCGGTCCGTTTCCTCAGCCTGCAGTGTGAGAGAGGCGAGAGCGAGCCGGTCGTCCTGCCCGTCATACACAGCTGCGAATGCACCAGCTGCCAAGGTGGGGAATAATGAATGTGGCCGAATGGATTTTCATGTTCATCTCTCATGTCAGTGAGAGAACCGCAAGTTTGAATATATGTAAAAATGTTTGCATGTGACACATGTTTAGTCACTCCAGGCTCCCTGCACACACACAGAAATGGCAGGGAGGTGCTGGACATGTTCCAAACAGGGAAAGTCAGGGGCTTTGATTGAAAAATATTTTCTGATGGTGAAATACATGAGAAAATACCTTTCAAATGGCTGCTTTTGCTGCTGATCTGATTCACCCTAAAATCCCAAACACATATTTGTCCTCTTACCTGTAACACTATTTACCAGTCTAGATAGTTTTGGTGTGAGTTGCCAAGTGTTGGAGGTATCATCTGTAGAGAAGACTGCCTTCTCTCCAATATAATGGAACTAGATGGCACTTGGCTTGTGGTGTTCATGGGAGTCAAAAACATTTGAAACACTCAACAGCAATGTTTCTTTGCAGAAATCATGGTCTGGTTTAACTCGGTCTCACTCCAGAGTTGTTGAAATCCAGCGCTTGGACAGTGACTTCCGGTGTCTGACACGGACGGAAAAAGCCTTTAACGTAGCATGATACGAGGCTGGTTGCCTTTATAGTTTAACGGTGGCTAGTGGCGTCGGTGAATGCGGTCAGGAATGCAGGACAGGAACAAAAATTAGGCAAAAGGTGGCAATAGTCCAAGTAGGGCGAGTTGGAGGAGTGGTTGATGGGTCCAACAAACACCGACTTTTATCCGGGAGAGTGCTGTTTGTGTCCCGTAAGATTCTAAAGCCAAACCCTGTTCTTCCTAAACCTAACCACATGAAGGGAAAAAAAGTCAATGAGCAGTGTTGTACGGACGTAGCGTGTGTATTTTGAAAGAGCCTCTATGTAAACTGTAAATTTCCGATGAAAATGGAAGTGTATTTTGAAAACAGACAACGCATAAAACAGGCCGAACTTGACACAGTGTCCCAGAACATCAGCGCACCCCGCTTGCACGCCCAAAGTCCAAGACCAAACGTCGATATGTGGCCAGGTCGGAGTGAGAATGTGTTGCCTGGTTATTCAAGATAATTCACACACTTTATTATGAGCAGTTTCATGTAGGAACTATTTTCTTTCTACTGAACTACAACCGCGTGCAGAAGGAAGCGTGCATCTCCTGCTAGCTCATGTAGCACCACTGAGCTAGCTAACATTACAGCTTGGCTGAGAAGGACGGCATTAATGTCTACATCTTGAGCTGTTACGAGCACCTCGTCCATGAGTAGATGCACACTTCCTTCTGCCTCATAATACATTTGGAGGGGGTTGTTTGGTAACACTGAGCACCTCACACTAAAACAGTCTAGAGTGATAAGTAGAACTACAGATAATACACTGCTGCGGTGTGAGTGTTTTTACTGGCTAGCGAAACATCATGGCGCTGACTATTTACTGGAGTTTACCAGCCTGTCGCTCATGTGGTATTTTAAGATACTTACAAGCATGGCTGTTCTCGGCTTTCAATGTCCGATAGTCCACCATGAACATTTTCGTCATGTCTCGTCTCCGAAAATATAACATAGATTTTGTCTTGTTTTTTATTATCAGGGTCTATTTTTAGCTCATCGACTTGTTTTTGTCATGGAGAAATGGTCATTGACGAAAGATTTTCTTCATAGTTTTCATCAATGCAATTAAGATAAGTTGTAGATGGTAGTTTATAGGTAATTGGGACTATGAATATAGATAAAAGATGATCATTTTATTTCACGATTTTTCTCCTCAACACAAATATGTGGATATGTTTCTTCATCAAATGATAATTTTCCTTTTTTTTTTTTTTTTTTCGAATTAGTTGAGCTTCTCCACAATCTTTCCAGCTCCCTTACAACTGCAGAAATACCCCCGGGGTACACATACCCTTGGCTGGGAATCACTGCATTAGCTGAAAATCAAACAGCTGCAGGTAGAGTTGCCGTAGTAACACTCCTTGTTTAGAGCAAGTTGTCCTGTTACATAATTTAGTGTGTGTTTGGTTGTCAGCAATCCTGGAACCTCAGAGGTCATGTTTTGACAGCTTTAAAGAATTGATAAACCTTCTCTATCTTCTCCACTTGGATTCAGTGATGAAATACACAACATCACTGTCTCTTGTTCACCAGGCTTCAGGTACATGTGGTGTTTTGTTTGCTCGCTGCACACGCCATCATTTAGATCAACAGACATGAGCACCATACCCAGCCAGCTCAAACTGGCACTTTGCTGGTCAGGTTTTGGGAGCACCCATGAAATACACCTGCTGTAACATCACTGCAACCAGTGTGAAAGTTTGCCCCACAGACGGCAGCTCAGTCAGCGGCTCTAACACTCAACCATCATGTCCGTCTCTTCCTCGCTCAATACAATTCCTCAGTCACTTTTCATTAACGCCAGGCTGACACGCGCACACACTTCACTAATCTTCGTGAAACATACGTTTGCCTTCGCCCACCATGAATAATTCAATCAAGGATCCCACCTCTGAAGCAATTATGAGCTAATCCATTCATCAACATGGCTGATTGCGTTAGTTAATTGGATGTAGCCACATACGACACAGAACATCCCCCCTGCTCATATTCCCCTCCCAGCACTACACTGAGGCGGACATCACGTCTCACGGATTCGGTTGTTACGGCGATCAATCTTTGATAGTGTCTGGCGGCTCTGACACACACTCGCGCACACTTACACATATTAACTGCCACTACAATGCCGTCACCTGTGACTGACGCACACTTACTACAGACACAAGACGACCTACATGGAGACATTTGTCAACTGCTGTTGGGATTTTATGTTCATGTGTTTTAAAATGGATTTTAGATGGCATGCTGTACATTTGCAGTAGATTTGATTGAACAGACTTTTGGATACATTTAAAATAAAAAAATTCAGATACCCAAAATACATTAAGTCATGCTGCTCTGACACATTTCTGAATGTTGGTTAAAGAGACCTTGGATCGAACTTTGTAGAAGGGTGTCATCTGGGCCAAGAAGGAACCCATTATATTTCGGAGCAGATCCGAATCACGGGGTGGATACATATATAATGTTTCACTTTTGTTAACACTGCGAGATAGGGCATTTGGCTTGGCGGAGGTCTGCGCGCTCTGTGAGTGCCCTTCCTGCAGAGGAAGCAGCGAAGTTATGATTCCATCAGTCTCACTGTTTCTTTTCTTCACAGGAGGTGACCTGTCCAGACGCTGAGCAAGTATTTTGAGTGTGTCTGTGAGCTGAGTGTGTGAGTGTGTGAGTGTGTGTGTGTGAATGAGAGTATGCACTAGAGAGAGCAAGAGCAGCTGAGAGCCAGCTGGGTAATGGATGGAGAATTTTGGGAAGGACGGATCCACGGATGGATGGAGGAGTGGAAAAATCCAGAAGTCCTGGGACCCTGTCGATGTACACATTGTTCTGTAGTCCTTAGTCATCATATGACTGGATGCTACTGCTGATTGTAGAGTTCCTGTTCTGAGACTTTAAGGTTTATTCTTCAGCCTGTACAGCCTGTTTTTCTACTGTATATTTATAGTAACATTAAAGGACCTATGATACAATCCAAGTACGACCTATTACGCTTTTAAATATGTTTCATTTGTATGTTGTAAGAAAATGTTTATGTTCCTGCAGTCTTCTTGAAGTTTACAGTAACTGGTTAGATGTTTTTACATGTTGGAGGTCACAGTACAGTTCCAAAGGACTGGTCAATAAACATTTTCTACATATAAACAACACTGTCGTCTTCTGTCTTTATAAGAATTTTTTTATTTGCATTTATTCCAAAAATATTTAGGCCCTTTTCAGTCAAATACTGTTCAAAAAAACTTTTTGAACAGCAATCCCCTCAATTTCTCCCAACTATGTCTCCTGCTATATAAACCCATTTGGCCGGCAATAGCTGTGGCCCGGAGGCATTATATTTTCCAATTGTTCGTCCATCCGTCCTTATGTACATCCATCAAACTGTACTTCCATCCGTACCTCAAAAACACCTGAGAGAATTTCTTCAAATTTAGCACAAATGTGCTCTTGGACTCAACAACAACCTATTAGACTTGGTCCGTCCGGCTGTCCTTATATACATCCATCAAACGTATGTACATGCTTCCATCCGTCTGTCCCTCCTAAATACCCTATTTCACATGTTACATATCATGACTCCAATATAAGCTGAAGTTAAAGGAGATAGAGGAGATAAACTCACAGGCTTTCTCAGCCCAAACAGCACTGCCACCTTCAACAAACCCAGGCTCCATTTATGTGAGCTCCAGGTAGTGACAGTGCCGATACTACCTTTCCTAGCACATTCACTATACCTTATAGAGATTTCTCCTAGAGAGGGTAAACTCACAGGCTTTCTCAGCACAAACAGGAATTGAAAGGCTGATTGTCCAATTAGTGGACTACCCGCACTTTTCAGAAAAACTACATTTTACGTTTCATCTCATATTTTTCTATCTGAATTTATTCTCTTTCATTTTTTTCTTTCTTGAATATTGTTTTATATTTGATACGCAATCTGGCAGAATATGAAGAATACAGAACAGTCGGTGCAAACGTTTCACTGTCTCAGCTCCATTAACTCACCACTGCCACAATGGACCCATTTCATCTTTCCCACATTTTAAAAGGCACCACAACATCAGATTATTAATGTTTGGATATAAAATCACCCTCAGAACATTACCAAGGGATGCAGAATATAATAACCGGACGTCATTACTGAGAATCCTTCTTTTGATTGTGAAGAAGATGATCACATGTCCTGGCTGAGGCTGCAGCCCCTCACTGACACGATGGAGGGAGAAAATTAAGAGTGTTTTCTGTTTGGAAAAGATAACTGTTAGACTGCAGCTAAAAACAATATATTGCATGAAATAGACTGCATTCAACTTGCTGAACATAAAAAGAAAAGGCATCTCAAAGTGTAGCTAATGTAGAGAAATAGGTTTCTCTCAGTTTACTGCTTAAGAAAAATAAAAACTATATAATCTGACCTCATTTGAAAGCCAAAAAGCTAATTATATAAGTCATTTGTGTAATTTAATGGATGGATTTGCTATATTTTTAATAGTTTTGTGCTTTAATCAGATATATATGACGGATTTTACAATAATATATGTTGATTTTAATTCATTTGTAACTCAAGTGAGTATGTTTTAAATTTCAGCTGCAGAAACTGCATACATGCTTCCATCCGTCTGTCTTCAAATTTAGCACAAACATCCACTTGGACTCTCAACGATAACCTATTAAACTCCGTCAGTCCGTCCATCTGTCTGTCCTTGTATACATCCATCAAATGCATGTATGTACTGTCCGTCCGTCCCTCCCAATCTTGTGAACTTTACATCTCAAGAATGCCTGAGAATTTCTTCAGATTTGGCACAAACGTCCACTTGAACTCACCAATGAACTAATAAGACTTTGGTGGTCAAAGTCAAGGCCAATGTGACTTAATGCCTGTTTCATTTTCATGAACGCTATATATCTTAAGAAAGCCTTGAGGGAATTTCCTCAAATTCGGCACAAACATCCACCTGGACTCAATGATGAATTTATCAGATTCATTCACGCATACCTCCATCCATCCTTATATACATGCATCAAATGTACATCCATACTTCCGTCTGGCCCAATCTTGTGAACTTTACATCTCAAGAACACCTGAGAGAATTTCCTCAAATTTGGCACAAACATCCACTTGAACTCACCCTAATTAGACTTTGGTGGTCAAAGTCATGGCCAATGTGACGTAATGTCTGTTTCATTTTCATGAATGTGATATCTTAAGAAAGCCTTGAGGGAATTTCCTCAAATTCGGCACAAACATCCACCAGGACTCAATGATGAACTGATCAGATTCATGCATCCATCTGTCTTTATAATACATAAATAAAAACATACATACATACTTCTATCCGTCCCAATCTCATGAACCTGATACTTCAAGAACACCTGAGAGGATTTTTTCAAATTTGGCACAAACGTCCACTTGGACTCAACGATGAACTGATCAGATTTTAGTGGACCTTATAAAATGTGTTTCTGTGCCGTAACTCAGAATTCATGTTCTAATTGTGACAAAATTTCACATGTCTAATAGGATAAAAATATTGACATATATGACATTTTATAATCAAAGGGTCCGTCCAGCCGTCTTTACATACATACACCAAACGTACGTACGTACTTCTGTCTGTCACAATCTCATGAACTCGATATTTCAAGAACACCTGAGAGAATTTCCTCAAATTTGGCACAAACATCCACTTGGACTCAACGATGAACTAATTAGGCTCTGGTGGTCAAAGTTAAGGCCAGTGTGACTTAACGTTTGTCTCATCTTCGTGAATGCAATATCTCATGAATGCCTTGAGGGAATTTCCTCAAATTTGGCACAAACATCCACCTGGATTCAACTATGAACTGATCAGATTTTGGTGGACCTTACAAAATGTGTTTCTGTGCCTTAAGTCAAGAATCCATGTGCTAATTATGACCAAATTTCACACAAATGTCTAATAGGATAAAATTATTAAGTGGTGACATGAACTCGATACCTCAAGAACACGAGAGAATTTGGACCAAATTTCTTCAAAAGTACTGTGAATATCCAGCACAAGCTTTTATTTTAAGGTGCCGTTCCCGGCTTTAGAGTGAGTGAATAACAGACAGCTACTGAACAGAGACGGCAAACTACCTCAATGTCATGGCCAAACGCTTAAGTATGATGCTGAATATTTTAAACTGTGTGGACCTTGAAGTAATGACTAAGCAGAAATCTGGACCCTGAGGCTTCACCAGTTGGGAACCACTGAACTAAACTTAATACTAGCAGATGTAAACTATATTTTTCCACAATGAAGGTGTGGGCATTTTCTCTGATTTGTTTTGTGCAGAATAGATAAAATATTTATCCAAATGTTCCCCCGGAAATCTATACTCGTAATATGAAGTGATATTTCTGATGACAGTCAAATTTGCTGCTGAACTGTCTATTCATTAAAGGAAGATGCAGCTTTTATTGGATGTGTCAAAGTGAAGCCTGGAGCTTTTTCACTGCCTTTAGTCAGACACTTATTTATTATTGTGCAAGGTAGAATACATTAAGAACTCCTAATGCAACTACAGTCAACTGTCTCTCTGTCTTTGTGTGTGTACAGTATGTGTTTGTGCAAACACAAAAACAGTTTGCCAGGCTGGGATTTGTTTCATCTGTGACAAGAAACTGTCAGCCCTTTTCTTTTCCTCCTTCCCCTCCTTGTCTCCTCTGTCCTGCCCTCCTTTCTCCCCTCCCTCCTCCCTCTCTCTTTTCCTGACTAAATAAGGGAGTTGAGAGAGGAAGGCTGAGCAGCACGCCTCCACTGGCTCTCAGCTGCTGTAGTAAATGCTGCTGGATGTAATGAGAGCAGGAACTGATGCATTTTTTAATTCATACCAAAGTGTCACTTTTTGATACATTGCTCCGAACGCCTCGTCCAACTGCAAGGCTGCAATTCATCATGTCTAACCAATCATTAAAACACTGATCGCTGGAAAAATGAATGCATTCATGTTGCCGTGCAGGTCATTTTGATAAATGCATGCAGCGAGCAGCGGTGTTGCTTTAGGCCTGCAGTAGACAGAACTGAAAACAAAGAAATGTAACGCAGTCACGGCTTATTACGTCTCTGAGATGGATATAAAAATCTCCTGAAACACCCAAGTTCTTATGGATATAGAGAGAAAACTCTGGGGTAGCAGGAGGCTGTGAGACAAGCAGGGGAGAGCTTTGTCTGCTGCTGCCTTCAAGTGCAGTCAGAAAAGGAAACACTGCCTGTAGCGCATGTCTTTTCAGACCTCACAGCAACTTTTGGATTCATGAAATAATCTAGAATGCTGGTTGCTGATTGAAAATGTTTCTGCACTTGTATAGCACCTGTCTAGTCTTCCGACCACTTACGCTTTTTACACTAAAAGCCACATTCACCCACTCACACACTAGTGGCCGAAGCTATGATACAATATACCACCTGCTACTAAGTTTGTAACACACTCACACACTGATAAACAGCCATCAGGAGCAATTTTTCTCTCTGAGCTTCAGGACTAAGAACTAAGACGTCGGTTTTGTCCTGGTTGAGTTGAGTAGTGGACGACCCGCACGTTCAAATAAACACAAGAAATTTGTGCTCTAGAGAAAGGATCAGCACTCAGTGTAAAACCTCCTAAGCCCTATGATAAGCTATTATGGCAAGGCTTAACTATACAGACCAGTGAGCAGTGATAACTAGCATGTCTTTGGGGTCATCAGGTGGGAACCTCCTTTCACCAGTGTTTCGTCTAGTTGGTCCCACGACACCTCCAGGAGGCTAGACAGTGATCTCTGGCATCCCAGAGACACTCCTCTAATGCCAGGTCTCACTGCTCCCCACACCAACCCAACAACCTCCTTTACCTTACTTACACATGGCTTTCTCAGCCCAAACAGCACTGCCACCTTCAACACACCCAGGCTCCAAATGATGCGAGCTCCAGGTAGAGACAGTGCTGATACTATGTTTCCTAGCACATTCACCATACCCTATTTCACATGCTACATAGCATAACTCCAATATAAACTAAAGTTAAAGGAGATAGAGAAGATAAACTCACAGGCTTTCTCAGCCCAAACAGGGATTGAAAGGCTGATCTTCCGATTAGTGGACAACCCGCACTTTTCAGAAAAACTACATTTTACGTTTCATCTCATATTTTTCTATCTGATTTTTTTGTCTTTTTTGTTTGATATTTGAAATCTGGCAGAATATGAAGAATACAGAACAGTCGGTGCAAACGTTTCACTGTCTCTGCTCCATTAACTCACCACAGCCACAATGGACCCATTTCATCTTTCCCACATTTTAAAAGGCACCACAACATCAGATTATTAATGTTTGGATATAAAATCACCCTCAGAACATTACCAAGGGATGCAGAATATAAATAACCGGACGTCATTACTGAGAATCCTTCTTTTGATTGTGAAGAAGATGATCACATGTCCTGGCTGAGGCTGCAGCCCCTCAATGACACGATGGAGGGAGAAAATTAAGGGTGTTTTCTGTTTGGAAACGATAACTGTTAGACTGCAGCTAAAAACAATATATTGCATGAAATAGACTGCATTCAACTTGCTGAACATAAAAAGAAAAGGCATCTCAAAGTGTAGCTAACGTAGAGAAACAGGTTTCTCTCAGTTTACTGCTTAAGAAAAATAAAAACTAGATGATGATATGACCTCATTTGAAAGCCAAAAAGCTAATTATATAAGTCATTTGTGTAATTTAATGGATGGATTTGCCGTTTTGTGCTTTAATCAGATATATATGATGGATTTTACAATAATATATGTTGATTTTAATTCATTTGTAACTCAAGTGAGTGTTTTAAATTTCAGCTGCAGAAACTGCATTCCTCACAAATACTAGACATCACAGTCCTCTGACTAATATTCCACGTGCGCTCCAGCCTGCACCACAATATCCGACAGTCCCTAAATGCACCATCCCCAGCATGACGGAAGGGGGGAACCCCGGCGGTGTGACGTAGCAGAGCAGCCTGAGCGGTGAATCCCCATCCAGCCCTGAAACACAATGAAGCAGCATCACAACCTCCTCGGCGCGTTTACATGAGAGCCGCTGATCCAGAGACGCTTTGGTGCATCAGTGCAGGTAAATGCTGCTCAAAGTGCAGGATACAATGGGCGCAGACAGCAGGGCGTGTGTGTGTGTGTGTGTGTGTGTGTGTGTGTGTGTGTGTGTGTGTGTGTGTGTGTGTGTGTGTATCCCATACAGGAAGTCATGTGATGCAGCCTAAAGCCGAACACCTGTTAACAGCAGCAGTCAGAGCAGGTGTGTGATAAGCACAAAGCATGTTCCTCTTTATCTGATATTACTGCGCCGTGAACGCCTCACCCGCAGCTGAGTTTACCCTCAGTGTCCTCTTTAGGCCAGTTTTTCCTAATTTCATCAAATTAATAATCGGTAATAATTTTTAATGTTGATGCTGGAAGCGGTTTTGTACCAAGTAAGAGTCCTTACTGTCTCACTTTGGGGACCTCAGGTGTAGTACAAAGTGTTCCTCGCGGGCATGGGGAGATTTTGGGCAGCTGAGAGCGCATCCACTCCTTCACTATAAAGTGTAGATGAGCAAAGGGTTAAAAGAGGCGCAGCTAGACGCCGGTGGAGCTGAAGTCATCCGGCAGAGCGCACAGCGAGGAGGAGGAGAGACACAGAGAACACCTCCAAAAACACACATCTAGGACGACTCGAGCTGCGGATCTGCGCTCTGCTCCTTTTCCGTTAACCATCATTGTGTTCCTTCTCTCTCCCAGTCCGGCACAGACATCCAGAGGCGCAGAGAGGAGGTGGAATGAGAAACAAATAAAAAAAAAAAAAAAAGCAAACGCGCAGCCCAGCGCCCCAACTATGGCTCCAACGACGCTCGTCGGGAAGCTCGCCCAGCCTGCCTCACAGGAGCGGGCTGTAGTGCAGGATGAGAGGTCTGCTGCGCTCCGCCGAGTGTGAGACCAGGAGGAAATATCACCTGACAGGCGGCCCTCCCCTCGGGGGACAGAAACAGACACCCTCGCTCCTCTCAACCTGGAAACTGGAGGCTGGAAACGGCCCAGATCTGCCGTGCGTACAGTGCGCCTCCTTTCCAGAACTCTCCTGTGCTCACTTTCTCCTGGAGAGCAGCGAGGAGCAGCAGCAGCGTCTCTGAGCAACTTGGGGGAAACTTTGGCCCCCGGATTACCTGTCAGTGCTGAGTGTCCATGCGGGGAGCGCAGTGAGCATCGTGCGCTCTGCTGCTGCTGCTGCTGGAAACGGTGAGACATCAATAAAAGTCCCGCAAAGTCTCGCAAAGTCCAGGGGCCACCGCAGCGAAGATGCCGGTCCGGAGGGGCCATGTGGCTCCGCAGAACACCTTCCTGGACACCATCATCAGGAAATTCGACAGTCAATGTAAGACCATTGTTTTCTTACCTCTGTCATTAAAACCCACTTTTAATAATTGACTTGTTGACTCAAAAGCTGCAGGAAAATGGCATCCTGATGATGTTGGCGCTCAGTTGACATTTTGTTTTGCAGAGATGGCCTCGATAATGATGTTTGCTGATGAATGGGTAATAGGTGGTGCAGTGATGCTACAGCAGCTGAGGTTGGAAGATGTGTGATAAGTGAGCAACGTAAGAGCAGAAAAATGTGGCTTTTCATTTTAAAACACACCATAATATGAGTGATTATTCAATTAAACTGACTTTTAATTTACCATTACGTTAATTTCTGATCCAACATCTGTAGATTTAAAGTGCTCAAGTCTTTTATTTGTGGATCTGAACCCTGTCATTCATGTCTGATTCTTGTCCTGGGCCATATTCAAAGGCTACACAGCACCAGACTATTAAAAAATCTGATTACTTTTGTTTCTGTACATCCCTTTGTGCTCTAACACCACACTCTAAGTGTCTCACGCTGCTGCTGCCATGACTGATTTTGCCAGAAAAAGCAATCTGCAGAAAAAAAAAGAGTCACATTCAGGTGCGTCAGGTGAGATGGGATCTATTATCTTTGATCACGTCCAGCATACACACACCTCACAGACATAAAGCTATTACATGCTTTGTTTTGTTTGCCTTCAAAGACAGAAACAAACATCAGTATCCTCTCAATTAATCTGCACTAAGTTATAAGCAAAAACAAACAATGTGTCCGAGCTGCTAAATCTTTCATGGAGCCCAGGGGCCATGCAATTTGAAGCTGTCTATATTTCAGAATACACAGGCTCCATCCGTCCTCGCCTCCCTGCGGCTGTGTTATCTTTGATGCAAATCATTCATGTTTTTTTTCCATCTCTGAACGTGTGACCAGACTTCAAACGTGCCTCAGCAGCCACAGCGGCACGTCTCCTGCGGAAATTCACCTCAGGGCTGACGATGAGGATGGTGATGGTGATGGTGTGAGGGAAAGTGGACGATGTGTACATAGCAGCTCAGGCTTCGACAGCCGAGAGACATTTATATGTAGTGTTTAAAGAATCTGAGTGTTAATTGCTCCCATCAGGAGCAGATAAGACTGAACTCTTCAGGTCCTAAAAGCTTAAAAATATGCTGCCTGCCTTCCTCCACTCACCATCTGCTTTTGCAAGTGATGTCTTGCTGCGTTTGTGACACCCAAGAGTCACAGAAGCAGCCGAGCTTCAAAGGTGAAGGGGTGGATTTGGTGCAAAAACACCCCCTTTTTTTTCCTGACACAGAGGCGCTGAACACGACTCCACACAAGTGCAGTCAAGTTGAATAACTGACGTGGAGTTGGGTAATTGACATTAATCCTGCTGTACTTATTTTCCCCATCCTGATAAGCGTGGATAGCTCTGCAAAGGTGAACATATTCCCGTGCTCAGTGAAACGCCGCCGATTCGTTCCACTGAGTTCATATCTTAAATGCGTCTGTACAGCAGATTTGCATTGGTTCGGCGTGTGGCAGGAAGCTTCTGTGTGTGGTGGATGTTTATTTATGAGCGGAGCGCCTCAGTGTTGCAGGGGATCGTAACCCACAACTGAGAGGCAGAGAACCTCACACCAGTGCTCTCCAAATGTTTTCCCATTGACTCATATCTTCAGAATAATTGTCGATTGATTGTTGCGGGCTTTTAGTCGGGCTAACCAAGCGTGCCGATGATGGTGATGACACGCCGGCTAATGGCTGTGGGTAATGAACTAATGGACAAGGAGGAGGAGTGTCAATGGACACCAGCAGCTGTTTAGACACCAGAGCTGTTGCCAGAAATTTAAACAAAGGAAATCTGTCTTCTAGAAGGCAAACTCTATTGATTGAACTTTAAGCTGCAGCCCGGTGCAAAGATTTGCCAATACTGCTGCGTATTTCTGCAGAATAACTCAAAGTCCCCATTTCAGCCTCTGAATCCACTCTGACCCCACTGCTCCACATCACCGAAACCTGAGCCCAGTCCTGAGCAAACTCTGCACATTTATTCACCTGATCCTCCGCTGTGTCTTTATTGTAATGGAGGCTGGGTGTACTTAATGTGGGAAGCAATCAAGAGGAGGCTTATCCTGTTTGTTCAGCTATACGGTATGTGATGGAAACTGTCTCATGCGTGACGTAGTGAAGAATAAAAGCCACATTCATGGCAGAGTGAGCACAGCAGGGCCATTTCTCATCCAGGATGGGACTGCTTTTAAAATGATGCACTGTGGATACTTGACGCTCGGCTTCGGTGGAGATGATCAAGGAGCGAACAATGGGCGTCTGTTGTCACCACACATCACACCGAGACCAATTCACCTGACATATTGTGTGAGAAATCCCGAGGACATGTTAATAAGACAATGACAATTTGTTCAACCAGCTCTGTGGCTTCACTTAGAAAACGGTCTTGGTATTTGTAATGCAGTTAATAAAAAGGGACTGCAGTGTTTGTGTCAGCTAATGGACACACAGTATTGGGTCTGCAGTTTGCAATGTCTCAGCAGTTTTGTCACTCCATTAGTTGACAATAAAATTAACCAAAGTGATGATGTAAGATCATTCCTTCACTTTAATTTCAACTTCATCACTGCAGTGCTGCCTTTCATCCCACATTTGTCTTGCGTAAATAAACACATCGCTGCTTTACAGTCAAGTTTTATCTTAATGACAGAAGCTGAAATACTGTGTGTAAACTCTTAATTTGAAACTGTACCTGAGCGCATCCTGTGTCGACACGGACTGGTGCTGTGCGTCTGCTTGCTAACATGCTGCTCACTGTGCTGTGTAGACATTCACTCCAACGTGTTTTCTGCTGGTTACGTTGTGGTATCGCAGGTTTGATAACGTGCTGTGTGCTCTCTGTGAGCGGTTTCATTAGCTTTTTTGAATTGTGAGTTAAAAGGTCATATTTTAACGATCTATAGCACATGGTCTAAAGCAGTGGCTCCCAACTGGTCCAGCCACGGCGTCCAGATTTGTCCTTAGTCATCAGTAAGGTCGACACAGTTTAATATTTTCAATGTCACGTTTGCGTTTAGCCATATCGTCAAGCTAGTTTGTTGTCTTTGTTGAGTAGCTGTCCGTTAGTTACTCACTCTACAAGGAAAGTGCACTTCAAAATAAAAGCTCTGTACCAGAAAATTCACTGACACATTTACGAGTAACTTGCGGTCCCTTCAGAATGGGCCTGCGACCCACTTTTGGACCAGGACCCACCAGCTGGTAACACTGGTCTAGAGTGCATTTAGGGTGCGTCCAAGTCCACTTTGGCTGGTTTAATGGTGCATAATCTGTGCGCAAAGTGAGGCACAAGGGGCAGAGGTTGTATTTAGACCACATATTGTAAAAATAATGGACAGAGCTACCGTGACATCAGCCATTGATTTGCAGACGCCCATTTTGAAGCCTCTTTCAGTTGTCGCCATCTTGGTTTTTTGGAGCCAGAGGTGAACTTATTTGGGCGAGAAGCTGGTGCTGTGGAGGAGTGAGGGATCGATCTGAATGAGAAGCTTAGGACAGTATCGACATATCGTCTGTTACTCAAGGTGGCCACGTCCTTAATCATGCATAACTTTAGGACTTAATAAGATTTAAACTCACAGTTGTCACAAAGGGGTAAATTAGCCAAAACTGCTTTTGTGCCAGGCTGTAAACATGTTTATCTCTGCTGTAAAGTCGGGCATTTTAACATGGAGGTCTGTGGGGATTGACTCAATCTTGGAGCCAGCCTCAAGTGGCCATTAGAGGAACTGCAGTTTTTGGCACTTCCATTATTGGCTTCATTTTTAAGCCCAGGAGGTTGCTACTTAAATTTGGTCCTTCAATTATTTACAGGTGTGTTTTGGACGTAACGTGAATTCAAGCAATTAGAGTGTCGTCAGGTGAGCCTGCACCTGACGCACTGCTACTTGGCGAACTGGAGAAGCAAGCACTTTTCTGCTGAGAGTAACGAGAATCTGAATCTGAAGTTACTGTTGTTGCTCAAGAAATGAAAGAATTTAGATCATTTTTCTTTAGTTTTTAGTGAAAATTTGAGGGAAAACTGTAAAACTATTAAATTAATAAAAAAATAATTTGTCAAATTGTCAAGAATCACAAAAATACCGTGAAACACCGTGATACTATTTCAGTGCCTTATCGCCAACCTCTCACGTACGGCAGCAGTTACAATCAATTCCTATGATACAGATATTTATATGATTACTGGAGATGAGCGAGAGGTCAGAGCTGATTTACATATCGATTATTGACATGTCTACTGAAAGGAAATCAGTAGGGAGTGTGATCTTTGCTTATTTAGAAAAATGACCAGGCCTGATGATCCAGACACAGGTGTGAACACATCTTGAGGCAAAGAATATTCACACTAATATGACGCTAAATTAATTTCTGTTTCCCAGCTCTGTTCTAATCAGGGGAGCGATTTTCTCCAGGCCTTCTGCCTCCTCCCCAAAATGTCACTACTGATCAGATTTTGACCAAATTTCAGGGAATATCCTGCGTTATTGCCCCATAGTGACATATCCAAAATGATACGCATAATATCAGATAATCAGATTTTCACAGAACTTGCCTCTTGTGCTCTGAAATTGCAGCGATTGGCCAAAGGCTGTGCGATTTGTCAGGAGACCGACTCATTCGCAAGTGTCTTAAACAGAGGATGCATAATTCATGAGGGACAACATGTTGCCTTGTTTTATGTTTGTTCTGATACTTATAATGGACAAAAAAATAATTAGATTCAACCTCTATAAAAGAGGAACTAATTAGATTAGTAGCAGCAGCGTGCATGTGAGCCTGCATGGTGTCCAGCTCAGGTATTTGATGCACTCTCCTCCCCTGACTTCAAACCTTCTCTGCTTACTGTACACCGATCCTCTGTGCGTGTATCCCTCTCTGCTCACTGTACTCTGATCCTCCATGTTTGAAAGCCTCCTCACACATCAGACCGCACAGACAGATTGTGCGCCTCC